TGTATGTATGTACGTACGTAGGTAGGTAGGTAGGCCGGTAGGTATGTATGTATGTAATGCATGCACGCACGCCCCCACCCACCCACCTACATATATATATATATACACACACACACACACCCACACCCACGCACGCACGCATGGACGGACGGAATCGCCAATTCTCCTGAAACTGCTTCGGCGAGGCCTTCTCAATTCTGCGTGCCTCGCAGGAGGCCAGATGCTGCCTTGAAGTGGGCAAGTCGGCAATGTTCCGGGCGAAAGAAGAGTAAATCACAGAGCAAGGCCACAATGAGCGCTTGAAGCCAACGTTTAAAAGAAGGCGTCCACTTTACCCGTGCGCGACTCTCCGTCCCTTTGAGTACGAAAGGACATGAAAGAGTTCTCTTACATGTTGCGGGTCAGCAAGTGGGAAGCCATGGCACTGCGGTGTGTTTCAACTTGTCTTAGCCAAGGATAGCAGTTCAGAAAGATCTGCTTCGAGAGTTGTGGGACCTTCGGAAAACTTAGGAAATCTCAGAATTCATACCGGAAACTTCTAAAATCTTCTAAATCATTCCGACTGACTCGTTCTGATTGCGTTATCTGCACCGAAGATCACATATCATTCTTCAACTCATCAGGCCCGTTGTGTCATACACTTGTTGTTTTGCTGTAAGGCTTGACAGGCTGTGGGATGTACCAATAGTGCACAGCAACATGCGTGCCACGCGGTGACATGATGAACATGTCTCCTGGAAGATTATGGTTTCAGCATCGTGTTGCCGGATATTTTCTTGGTAATGTTTCAAAAGGTGGAAAGCCCCTGAAGAGATACCTTTCGAAGGCCCCCCCCCCCCTAGCGTGTGGATTGAACTTGGCTCGGCAATCGATCATGAATGCGTGGCCCAAAAAGGGCAGAATGACTTGATATTACCCTTTGCACAACTTGTGTGCTAGCTGCTTGCTTTAGTTTCCAATAATTAGTCGTGAAGCAGCGACCCGTAAAAATCATAGTGTTCTTTCTGCAGCGCCATGATTGATGGATTCCTGCTGGCTTGGGCTAGACTTCCTGCCCCATAAAGAGGTAAACAGATGAGATGCTAAGGGGTTGGGCAGACGCGGGTCTGAAAGATGTTGCAGGCCATCGACCTATTCGCATAAGCTGCTCTCTACGGCTGGTCAGGTACTTGAGCACTTTCACCTTCTTCGCTCTGGGCAGCGTTGGCGCTGCGCTGCACATGTTCCGAGCGAGGAAGCATGGAGTCAATCGAGACTGGCTTGGCCGATCTTGCTCAGCAGGACCAGCGTCCCAGCTGTTCAACCAGTGCACTCGTGCTCTGCTCAGCATCACCCTGCCTTGAACATCATCCATGCAACTCATGAGCGGTTGCCGGTTGCTACGCACTGTGCAGGACACTGCGCCGAACAGCCATATTAAATATAGCTGGTTTGGCAGCCGCAGCCTCAGTGTCTGCAAGCTCTTCGTGAGTTCTCGGATAGAAGGACATCAGTGGCGGCATGATTTGCGCATCACTTCCAGGCAGGGCCGATCCTTCCTGCCAGCTGCCCATATGGGGCACAGGCGCTACCAAGCACAGCTTAGCACCTGAAATCTGAGGCCTCGGCTCTCGTCGGTTCTACACTGCGTCAGTCTTAGGCAAAGGCATTCAAGGCCAGGTGTTCTCCGACAAAAGTGCAAGAGCCTTGTGTTTCATGTCCACAGAAGTAGCCGTGTGTGGTGGGGTAAAGACACACCGAGATCACCAGAGATCGAGGAGGCAGCGCCCGATTTCCCTCTGACCAATTGTTGGGTGATGCTTGCCGGTAGGTGAGGGACGTGTCCTTGGCGACAGGCATTAGGTGCTATGCACACGCTATTGTGGTGACTTTCTGGTCGCCGTAACGGCTCAGCCATCCGAATTAGTTTACCAAACCCGGAGCTCAGATGACCAAAAGACTGAGAAGCCACCTCGGACTTAGTGGAGACCTTGTTCGACGATACATAGTGCGCATGTTTCACATGCTCACGCTGGCCACAAGTATACCTCGGTATTTCGGAATGGTAGTTTCGATATGATTCATGCGATGAAACGCTTCTTTCGTACATGGTAGAAAATGGCGAAGCCCAGCGCTACCTTTTGCATGGCTCTGTTAATGCTCAGCAGCGCCTTCTGCTGAAGCACACCCGCTCCAGCGAGAGTTGCTTAGCATGGCCTCGCTTGTGAGTGCCAGAACCTGAGGAGCGTGAACGCAGACCTCATGCGTCGCCACTGCTGGTTAGTGTACGGAGCCTCTTCCTTCAAGGCGGTGATGCCGAGCTCCGGCAACTGGAGCTCGCTTGCACGCTCTCAGCTGGAGGTTCTGCAGTCCTTAGCTGGCCTGGCAGCACTTGGACACGTGCTTGGTACACTGGCCCTCCTCTGCCCCTTCCTCCTCCTCCTCCTTCTCTGCCTCCTCCTCCACCTCAATTCCTTTCAGGTGCACTGTAGCTGTTGTGATAGTTTTGGCTGAAGCATTCAGGGGTGGTGGGCAATTGAGGCTAACTACTCGTGCACTTGCCGAGGTAAAGAAGCATTTGGAGGACCCCTCACTCACTGACATCGCAAGTCACCGCCTCAAATTTTGAACAGTAAAGAATCGACAAGCGTTTGGGAGTGGAAGAGTAGTATCGATTGGCTGCCCACAGGTGCAGATGACTTTTCGCTCACGTCAACTGAACGCAGCTTGACTGCGGGTAGCAGACAGAAGCCGTTTGCCGTCGTCTTCTCGGTCTGGCAAGCCCCCACCCGAATGTTTGTTGTAAGGGGCACGAGTTCTGGTGCATGTAGCTTCGTGTTTGTCACCAAGGCGGAATTCCGTCTGAAACTCAGTGCTTTCCTGAAGCCGATATGAGGGGCAAGCTGCTGGGTCATGGCAAGCCCAGGAGATATGAGCACTCGCACCTGGTCGCAGCTTTGGATGTCATCCTCGAGTACCAGAGACGCTCAGAAGCAGTGTCGAGGGGTCAATAGAATGCAGAGAAGGGGCAGTCATGGCAGGTTCAGTGTTACTAGAGGATTGATTGCAGAATGGGCTTGAACCAATATATGGGGCAATCTTTGCAAGATGTTGCTTGAGTCGAGCCGTTCCAGCCCTCGACCTTTCTTACGCAGATGTGTGTTCTTGAGGAAATCGAAAGACCACCTACTTCACCGTCCTCGGGACTCGGGCACAGACGAGGACGGGCTTCGGTTATTCACGCTACTGCCGGCTTCGGGTAGTTTGCCTTGGGGTTTGGTGGGATAGGCCAAAGCACACACGTAACCCTCGTTGATCAGCACAGTCTCTTGTCAGGTGCCAGGTGCAGCTGTGTTTTCAGGCGAAGCTGCTGAAATTTGCCCGCCCGCCCGCCCCTGATGGGTGGCAGATATTCGTCATGTGGAGCGAGTGTGCTCCAAGTCGGTGCGCGCCCAGTGGCGCGGGAGGCTTTGACCTTTGACCTGTGCGAGCCATTGGGGCTTTGACCTGTGCGAGCCTTTGGGGCTCGGGCTGGATTTGTGCAGCCAAAACACCTGCTTCCCACTGCCTGATCAGTTGAGGGTTTGCTCCGGGTTCGAGGGAGGCGAGGCACCAGGCCGGAGGTGACCAGGCCTGACGGCTTGTTAGACCCTCGCCGAAGTGTTCGAAAGCACGGCTACACCCCGAAGACAAAATCCCTTTCCTTCAGGCTGCAACAAAGCACCTCAAGCGGACATAGCTTCCCGAAGCGTCATCAAAGCATGTGACGTCACTTCCGGCAAGGTTTTTTGGGCCTGTTCCGGTTGGTTCCAGCAGTTTGCACTTCCACAAATGCTGGCAGACAGCTGGTTTTGCTTCATCCTTGTTGTAGAATTATCTTTTTTGTTTAGTCCAGCTGGTCGGAGGGCCCCGTTTGAACTGTGCCAGCACCCTGCCAGTATGGGAACATATCGACACGATCCTCGTACCCGGCTCATCGAGCTCTTGAAGCGGTGGCTTCGGACGCATGCGGCAAATCCAAACATCACGGAGGACGAGGCCAGAGTTTGATCATATCTCGCTTGTATCGAGCTTGGGGAGAATAGGGCACCACATGTCGCAATCTGCACCGTCAGGTGCGTCGGATGTGTGGTCTTTGCCGAGACCTGCTCAACTATCCGAACCTGTTTCCATCCCGCAACAAGCCGCAGCCTGAACCGTTCTAAGAGGCCGCTACTCTCCCGGTGAAACTTCCGGCGTTGTCCTAAGGACCAGCTTCATGCATGCACTCAGCACCTCGGCAGCTTGTCCAGCCATGCAAGCACCGTTAGCAATGGGTGCATGCCGTTGACAGATGTTGGTACCCTGCGTCCATGCTGACGGCCTTGAAATCTGCGGAAGGAAGGTACTTGTACCTGTTTGCATCGATCGGCTCAGGCACACTTGGTGCCTCAGACAGTCAAGGATATGATGGGCAGAAAGTCGCGAAACACAAACATATGACATAGACGAACGAATAAGTTGTCTGTGTATAGATATGTATATATATATATATGTACACATATGCATACGCGAATCATTCATTCACACATAAAGTCACAATTGTTCTCATGTATGCTGTGTTACACAGGATCTATCAGTAATGTCTGTTATATCGCTCAGCATGACCTTGCTCCGCTACACGTGGTCACGTGGTATGCCTACAGCTTGCTATTTACGGCGTTGGGGTCTAGGTACATACATACATAGATGCGCATTAATGCAGATGCATGAGACCGGTTGTTTCCTTTGTCTTCCATCCATGGTTTGCTTGGAGCCATGTTGGATTCGCACGATGCAAGCAGCAGATCGCTTCGCGTTCAGCTGACTCAACCGCAGAGCAGCTCTTTGGAACGTTTTGGCCGGGAGCCTGAAGAAATCCAACAGCGATTTCGTGCTTCCGTCTGCTAGAGCTACAAGGTATTCCCAAGGTTTCGTAGCCGTAGTGATGCTCTTTACCCTGTTTAAGATGGACGGGCATGGAACCCGGTGTATCCTGGTAGTGATGTCAGAATGTCAGACTGGCTACTGGTTCTGTTTCGGGCTTGCAGTCTGCGTATGATCAGAGAGAGAGAGAGAGAGAGAGAGAGAGTGACAGATCAGCACTCAACGACTTGTCAGGCTATGAGCCTCCACCTCGAGTGGCCTATCCCCCCGTGATCGAGTTCATCAGGGGGCAAGCTTTCAATGCATTCATATTCGTCGTTTTCGCCGGGACGGCCATTTGGATTGGAGTCGCGTGGGTCCAGTTGGCCGAAGACAGCAGTGCAAAGAAAAACTCAAGTGGTGTGCCTGTGGATTTGATTCCACTCATAAAGCTTCTTTCGGTGCCGCTGGTCTGTCTACTTTTCACTTGGTTTCATGTCTGGCTGGCATTGCAGATGAAACTTGCCATACAAAAGCCTTGCCTTTGCAGACGTGCAGCGCGTACAACTTTCTCTATGTACCAGATAGTATTATTTAGCCGTTGCAGACTCATTGAACAAATCTCGATAGCTTAGAGTTTAGCCATTAGTCACTCTGGTGGTGCCGTCGGGGTGGCGATTTGTGCGGGATGCTGCGAGATTTGGTGACAAGTGCCTCACGTAGAGCAACTGACACTTTCGCCATCGCATAACATCACCATGATTCCCTCCTCGAAGCTTCAGGCACCTCCCCCACTTTGTGCCGGCTGTGAACTGCCTTGCTGTTCAGTGCTTCTGTTGCCTACATGGTGTGTTTGGCATGTTGCACAAATGCGCAAATGCGCAACTGCATCCTCCGTTGCATTCCTCTCCAGCCGGACGTTCGGAAGGGAGTGCTTACGTTGAATGTCCACTCAGCTGAAGTTGGGATAACTGAAAGCAGTGCATGTTGCCTGGTTGTGTTGGATGTGAAATCCTTTGCTTGTTCCATGCCCTCCGTCTAGGACGCACGGGTCAGCCTTTCTGCTGGACGCCTCCCAGCACAACTTGGGCAAGGGTT